GAATTTCGGAACCCCAAACACAAAGATGTGGGCTTTACTCTAGAAAGGGACTAAAGGGCAAGTTCAGGCAGCCCCAGCCTGGACTCTGATACCCTGCAATTCCTTTGGAAAGAACGATGCAGCTGCGTAGTCTTGAAGGAAAACAGCTGAGAACAGGCAGTATTTTCTCCAGGCAGGAATCCATCACAGTGGCGATTTACAGGATAAAAGTGTGGCACTAACTTCATGTGGGAGCATCAGCACATGATTTAGGGACAAGATCCTCTAAACCAATGCATAAGCACACTATGCTATAGGAATACTGCGAGGCTCTCGGCAAGGAAGCCCGACACTTTACTTTGCTTTAAAGAGAACAAATTGAGGGGTGACTGACAGCTTGAGTGTGCACCTCTTTTATCTCCAAGAGCATGAATTTGGTATGCATGTATGTGAATTTCTATAATAAACCCTGGGGTGGTGATTACAAAGATATGTATACCAGTAGAAAGTTAAAGCATCAGTCCTAAAATACATACACACATTATATACACACATATACATATTATATATATATATATACACATATACACACAACACGCATACATACACACACTATAAATATATATATACATATATACATACATCATATATATACATACACACTATATTTGCGTATATATATAAATTTATATAAACACAGACACATATTACACACGCAAACACACACCAGCATGGCTGGCCTATGCTTTTTTTCTAAGGGAAAAGCTAGTTTTATTTTTGTTAATGGCTCCTCTGGCTCAAACATCAAAGCCAGGTCAGGCTATTTCAGAGGGAAAACAAGTATGATGCAGACTGACATTATAAAGGTCCAGAAGGCAAAAGACACTTTTCACTCTGATTAAGCTCAGAACCCCTATTGGCTTAAGACTAGAAGAAGAGAGTTCTATCATTAGTACCCTGAACACTGGATTGGAAATGTCTAATGTGCTCATCCCTGCTAACAGGTTTCTAACCAAGTTTGACAAAAGCCTGACTGTTCCTCCGAAAACAGAATGGCAATGCATCCATCTCTTTGAAGCATCAATCATATGGAGCTCAAATGCTGCCCCATGCAAGGGACACGTGACTGCTCTCAGCTGAATGACTGCAAGTCGGCCCACAGGTTCGAGGTGAGCAGTTTCCACACAGCTCTGTGCTCATTATAGCCAAATCTGCTCGCAGACAGGTTTAGTTTAGGAAAATCCCCAGGAAAGTGGGAGACTCCCTAGCCTAAAACATGCCCTTTCCTGAGACTCCCCAGGACTTAGATGCTGTCATCTCCGTGTTGAAGCCGTTTCCTTCTTTTTTTTTTTTTTTTTTACAGAATCAGAGCCAGCCAGCCAGCCAGTGGCTAAGTCCAAAGAGCCACAAGCTCCTGCCCCTCCTGCCCAGCTGTGCTGCACACATGGCAGTGAGCTCCTCCCTCTACTGGTTAGCAGGCTCCAGCTCGGCTCTTGATCTGCTAGCAGCAGCTCTGGATGAAGGGATGGCTCCCCCTGGAGCCTGAGATGCTGATTTCCACTGAGGTCCACAAGCTACAGCTTTCAATCTAAAAGTCTTCAGGTTCAGAAAGCTGGTTAAACAAAGGTCAAGAGGAAAGAGTGTTAGTTCCTGAGGAGACAACATTCTAACTTTGCAGCTTACTAAGAACACTAGTGTGGTGGGTAGATATTGGTGAGACAACTCTTCCAGCTACTCATGATGTGCTGGCCACTCTCTTCCTGAGCCTGGGTATCCCAATATCCCAGCTTCAGCTAAACTGTGGCTGATAAGAATGTGAGGCAATGCTGCTTTGTGTTCAGCTAGACCACCCAGCGTGGGAAGAGCAAATGCTTTGAGTGAAGGCCCCACAGTAAATACTTTAGGCTTTGGGGTCATATAATCCCTGCTGTAGTTACTCAACTTCTGATGATCCCCTAATTGTGCATGGCTGTGTTCCAATATAAAACACCTACAAAATCAGGTAGGTCAGATTACACCCAGGGGCTGCAGTTGATCCACATCCAGTCTAGACAGCTGAAGCCAGTCAGCAGAGGTAAAGCTAGCTAACAACTGTACAGAAAGGGACTGGGAGCAAGGTGTGGTGGGACACATCTGTAATCCTGGCATGGGATGCAGGAGGATCAGGAGTTGGAGGCCATGCTGGCCTATATAGCAAGCTCAAGGCAAGAATACATGGTAAGACATTGTCTCCAAAAATAATTTTTTCATGTTCCCATTATACTTCTACATTGTCTCTGAATTGTCCTACATTGCAGAACCATGCTGACCTTTTCACCCTGGATAAAACTGAGAATTTCTTCAGTTGCCTTAGTGATATCAAGTATTGGCATTCAAAAGTTAGCTCTGCATTGCTTATGGCCAGTGTGAGAAAGTCACAACAATCTGCTCAGAGCTCACATCAAAGGAGAGCACAGTCAGTTGGTGAAGAGAACTCAGTTTTCCCTCCACCTCGCGGAAAATTTGCTGCTGCAACAGCACTCACGAGCAGACAAGGGATCCTTCATCATGGGGGTGGGGGGAGGTGCCCGCTCAGAATCAATCCACTCAGCTTCACAGGCTAAAGACTCAACTACTGATATACAGACAAGCATCTCCCTGCTGTGGGACAAAGAAAGGGATGCTGACGACACTGGCAAAGCTTCCACAGAGGGTGACATCTCTTGGAAGCAGATGCCAACTCCACTCTGCATTCAACAGGCAAAAACGAAGCAGTGATAGCAATTTATAAATTGGCAGCTGCTCCACTGGGAGAAGGAAGCCTGTTATCTGGGAAGCCACAGACTACCTGGGAAAGAACACTTTCCAAGACTTCCTCAAAGGACATAAAAGCCAACTCTGCTATGACAAAAAGGCACATGCCTATCAACTTCCAGCCTCTTTAAGTTCGATGTGGCTGCTGAAGAGGGAGAGGGATTTGTATAGATTTGATTGCCTGGAATTTGCAACATATTATTCCAAAAATTTGGAGTCAAATATTCATCACTAGCACAGATTCATGCTTGGTGGAGTAGAAAGGGAGGAGTGACAGGCAGTGTTAAAGTCAGTCCCTGAGGGAAAGCAGGGGTTGGGAGCACTACTGGCTTTCTCCAAAAGTCTTCACAATCCATCCTGTCCTAACCCTATGACTAGCCACACCAGTGAGACCATGCACACCTCCTGCAGTGTCCAGAAAGTAAACTGGGCACAGGAAGGAAGTGACAGAAGGAAGTGGGAGCAGTGGAGAGGCAGCATTTTTGCCCTTGCTCACAGAGTTTTGGGGGCCTTTTGGCTCCACATGTTTCTTCCCCACACTTCAGAATTGCCCTGTCTCAGCCAATTTGAGTCCAAGATGACAATGACAAACACCTGGTCCAGATGATCTTTGAGAGGACAACATTCATATTCAAAGGTCTACTGACTAACATCAGACCAAGCAGCCTGACAGGAACCAATCACACACCCTCGGGGCTGGAAGGATGGCTCTCTGCTTAACAGCTGCTCATGCAGAGAACCCAGACTAAGTCCCAGCACCAACATGGCAGCTCACAACCATCTACAGCTCCAGACCCACAATAACCAATAACCTCTGCAGGACTCCGAATGTGGTGTGCATGCATGCATGTTGTCAGAATACTGATACACATGAAACAAAATAAGTAAGTTTTGAATAAATAAATAAGAAAACTGTCCAACTAAAAGACCAAGGTAATAGGATCTTTTCATTAAATTCCTAGTGAGCTGAGTGGTAAATAATCAAAGGGATTTTTCTTAATTCCTCAAATCCTTTTTTAAAACTTACTGTACAGTACCCTGGGTCCACACTCAGAACCAGAACAGTGGTCAACACATTGCTTCTTGGATCCTGAGGACCAGTCATTATTACTAGCACTGCAGCTCCACTGACAGCATGACAATATCACAGACTTTAACCCAAGGCAGAGACTGAAGTGCTGGACTGGATGTATTCTGAGTTCAGAGGAGATTCAGGAGGTGATTTTAAGGAAATTGCTTCCATTTTTTTAGAAAAATTTCCTTTGTCCCTTTACCTTAGTATGGTCAAAATTTACTGATTGTATCTTGGATGGCAATCTCAAGCTCTGAGAGCTGCCACACAAACAGTGGCTGATCTGCTATGGTACCACTTGCTGGAAAATGATGCTGAGAACTCCAAAATCAGGAAAAACAGAGAGGAGAATAGAGAAAAGCTCATGAGAAAGGTCATGAGGGGCACTGTGATAGAAGGACAGAAAGAAACCTGACAGAGGACAGCTGGATGCAATTCTATTCTTTAATCTGCAGAAGCATATCCTATCTCAAAGCAATTCAGATGCTAATGTTAGGTGTCAATGGACCAAAACAAAATAAAACCCATCCTTCAGGATGCACAAGTGCCTGCCTCATTGCTACCACTGCACCAGTCCGAGAAGCCACTGACCTCACCATGGCCACTGTGGTTAAACAGCAGCAATTAGGAAGGTTGCTGCAGAGGTGAAGACAAGGACGAATTCTCCAGTTTTATGAAGAAATAAGATATGGTTACCAAAAGAAAATGATAGGCTCAGTGACCAGTGGAAACCTGCAGTACCCTTGGATCCAAAGTCACAATCTGCTATTGTCCAGTATCCCATTACCAATCAATTTTGGTTTGAATAACCCAGGTAATTGGAATACATCCATGCACCACACAGACCGGGTCAAAAACTCTTAGCCAGAGCCTGTTGTCTCCAGCCCCTGAATACCAAAATAGCCACAGCCTTTTGCTGACTTCTCAGCTTTGAGCAACTTCAAGGTCAGGCCCCACACAGCCTCCCACTGTAGCACTGGGATTGAAGGAGGCTGTGATTTTAATGAAACGACAGCTGAAAAAGCTATGAGACCATCTTTAAACTGGAGATTCACTACCAAAGTTTCATTACAGTTATATTTAAGTGGAATTCACTGTAGCACTCACAAAATAATAAATGAGTAAAAACAAGATGACAGTTAAGCTATGGGCCTACCTATTCCTGAATTTGCTCCGGTAACCAGGACCACTCTCCCTGTGAAGTCCCGGCCCTGCAGGATCTCCATGGCGGTGGTGCTACCATCGTATCTCTGTCTGGTAGTTGGCTTTGTTGGATTATCATCCACAGTAAATGCCAATCTTGGGTCCAAGTAGGTAGTTCTTTTATTTATGTGGCTGCAAAGAAGAGAAAGGGCATTGAACTCTAAACAGCAAGGAACAGCAGCTCCAAATACCCTAATACTCTAATTCTTCAGGCAAACACCATGGTTCGTGCACCAAAAGGTTTGTCAAAGATGGAGAGATCCAGAACCCATTTGATCTATCTTCTCATCCTCAGAAGAACCATACTCTGCCTGTGAACACAGCCATGAAGCCTCTCAGAACTACTTGAAGGTTCAAGGACACAATTGGCCCCTTAGCTCTCATAACAGCTTCCTGAGAAGGCTCTAGATTTCTACTGAATTCGTGTTCATATAAATTCGTCTGCAAGATCTGCCAGCCACTCTCGTCAATACATGCCCATGTAATTTCACTGGCCTGCGCAAGGGCTTAAAAACTCTGTTATACAAGGAGAAAGTGGAAATGATGAAAGTCTTAATAACTACAAAGCAAGCCAAATAGCAAAGTTTCGATGCTGTGCATTTTAAGACCATGGCCATGCCACCTATAATAAGCACTCTACTTCTGATTTGGAATTGATCTAGAACTTACAGAAACAACATTGAGATACACTGGCACATATAGATTATTAAATTATTCCTTTTAATACCATTTTTACATTTTTAAATGCATTCTTGGGCTGTCAAGATGGCTCAGCTGCCTAGCCTGATGACTGAGCTCAATCCCTGAAACCTATGTGATAAAGGAAACAACTCCTGCAAGTTGTCCTGATGGCCATGTGTGGGCCATGATGTGCACGCATGCATGCACATACACACTCTAAATATACAAAATGTAATACGAAAATTATGTGTATTCTTACGATCTGAGATAAAGACCTTGAAATGTCATAAACATGTTTAAAACTATTAAGAACCCTCCTGATATACAAAGAATACTATGATTTAAAATGTATGTGTCTGAGCTACACGGCATAGGCCTGTAATCCCTGCTAACAGGAGAACTGCAATTTCAAGGCCAGCCTGAGCAACTTAGTGAGATCCTGTGTGACAATGCTGACATTAGGCAGTGCTGGCTGTGCTGTCATCTCTGCTCCTCAGTGATTCCACCTTGGTAGCCGACAACTGGTGATGGTGACAGTATCTGCACATGGAAACAAATGTGCATTTCTTTTCCCTAAGGAGCTGGTTGTTGAGCATATCCCAGCACACCCCTGCAGCAGGCTAGAGAATAACTATCCAGGAAAGCCTTCTCCTAGCTTACTTCCAAAGCCCATACTCATTCTCCTTTAGATCAGCAGCTGACTGATGTGGCCATAGCTTGCTTCTGTAGTTTTATTGGGGCACAGCAATGGCCATCATTTTTTATTCAAAACAGAAACCATGTAGTGCCATACCATAAAACATAATATCTGATCCATTACAGATAAGTTTAGCTGACCCCTCTCTATAGTAGGCCAGTCAAACCAGCATGTTTCAGAATCCCCTGGAGGGCATAGGCTACCAACACCACCACCACCACACCCCAAGTTGATTTTCAGATAGTAGGGGGTTTGAGTATATCTAATAAATTCCCAAGAGCTGCCAACGATGCTGATTGGAGAGTCCACTTTGGAACCACTGCTCTAGGCCAGTAAAGAGGAAAGCAACCCAGAGAACAGCTTTACAGGAGGAGTCCGGCTACAGGGAGCCTAAGAATTTCTACAGCCACGCTCTCCAAGAAAAATGTGGAAAAGGATATTTCGAACACAAAATTAAAGAAATGATGTTCCTATTTTGATAAGGTAAAAGATTTTTATAAATCAAGGGAGAGTAAATTCTTTATAATCTAATACGTAGCAAAGAATATCCACCCACCCACCTGATAGAGAGGCTGCCCTACTGGAGCTGCCAATGACTGCTCAGACTCTCCAAAGCAAGCCCTGGCCTACCTGCTCCCAGTGGAGGAGACATGCCAGGAAGGCAGTTCACTGGGATGGCTGACAAACCATTTACTTCAGGTGAACCTGTTACTATAACTATTACTACAGGGATAGTAACAGGTGAGACCAAAATAAACTGTCACAGTAGTAATAAAAATTTGAAAAATGGAGTTCCAGAGATGGCACAGCAGTTAACAGCACTTGTTGCCCAATTGTGAGGATTGCAGTTTGGAACACAGCACCCATTCATCAAGTCAGAAATCCTGTGTTTACAAACTGTAACCCCAGCTCCAAAGGTTTACTGGCTTCCACATGAGCCAAGAAAAAGCAAGGTCCAGGTTCAGAGAGAGGCCCTGCCTCACAGGAATTTGTAGGATGACAGTAGAGGGATCTGATGCCCTTATACAGTCACACAGACACATCAATCCTTTGTAAAGTTTTTAGGAAGTCTCAAAGACAAGCAGCTTAAAAGAAAGAAACAAGGAAAGAAAGGCAGGCAAGCAGGAAGGAAGGCAGGCAGGGAGGAAGGAATGAAGGAATAAACAAAGGAATGAAGGTAAGAAGGAAGAGGCAGGTAGGTAGTAGTTCAATCAAACATATTGAAAGCATAAGAAAAATTTGATAAAATTCCCAAAATGGCATGCTATCAGATTCTTTGAAAAGTTTAATATTTTGTTTAACCTTAAAGGAATGATAGTGGAAACTGTAGCTGTTCTATCAGGGGTGTGCATAGTTAATACCACACCACAATCCATGTGGCAGACTCAAGTGTGAAGGGTGGGTCTGACCTAACTCCAAAACCTTAGTGTACAAAAGAGGGTGGAAAATCAGACTGGAAGAAAAAAAAATCACAAAGCCAGCAAAGGTGGTTATTCCTTGTTAACAAAACAGGTATATACGACTTCAAATTTTCCTGTGGTCAGTGTAGGAAATTATAATTGAAAATTCCTCTTAAAAGCCATCCTGACCATAGTTTCTACGTAGATACTTACTCAACAAAAAACACTTGTCCATTCTCGTCAGTCTCTTGTTCCCATCCATATGGCAAATCTGAAACACAAGAAAGACTGAAAGCTGTATGTGTAGTGGAATGAAGCCAAGCCACACCCCAAGATCAGGAAGAAGTGTCATCCTTCTTATCCCCTGTCCCCTAAACCTTTTGGACACAAGATTCAAGGGCAGCAGCTACAAAAGGCCTGGTATCCCATCCGGAGTCCACATTTCTGCCTCCTGACTTAACCAAAATGCTGTTACATTCTTGATCACTCCTAATTGTTCACTCAGCTCCTCCTTCTACTGCAAGCCTCAGCAGATTCTCCGATGAGCATGAATTCCTGAAGCCAACAACCATGTCTGCAAGTTCACCAGACACTAACCAGTGGACTTGTGCCATGTTATAGAGCCATTCCATCATTTTCATGTACCACCTCATCTGTCTTCAAGTAGACCCTAAACCCATTGAGGCCAAGGAGCTTCAGTGCCTTTTGTTTTTATTCAGTACTCCTATTCCATGGATTATATACTTGTTTGGAAGCACTGAAAGTCATGGCTATCTCTGTAGGTTTCTGTAAATACTGACATTTGCCTCCACAGCCTCCACAATTACCCACCTGGTGCAACTACAGAGAAACCCAACTAGTCAAAGGCCCCAAATGTTTCCATAATCTTTTGTTCAAGGCCATAAGGCATATTCCCACCCACCTCCATCTCAATCTCCTCTTCTGCCACATCCCATTAGACTCTCAGACAGAGAGACTTGTTCCTTGCTGGTCACCCACCAGACAGCCTTCCCAGAATGACAGGGTCAACTGCTACCTCACCACTGGGACATCTTCCCTAGCTAACCAACGTTTCAGACTTAGGATTTTGTGCTTCTGACATACAGACCTCCTGCAACTCGTCTTCTTTTGCCGGTTTTCGGATGTTCCCACTGGGTCTTTTCCTCAGTGTGGCTGTAACAGAGACCCACAATAGAATAAGTTAACACAGCTAGTGAGTAATCACTGTATTAAACTGTGTCTCTCCCAGATAGAGCTGGAGTAATAAGAACAGACACAGAAAGAAGTACTCAGAGCAGATAATTTTTAGGCTACATCAGGTCAGAGGCCCCAGGTTGCAGGTTGGAATCAATCCTGAAGGAATTTTACAGGCCAGGTAGGGAGAGCAGTGGGAGAGCAAGAAGGGACTGGGTCCAAGTTATGAGTCAACTTCATAAATCTCTATGGATCACAAGGTTCTAGAAAGACATTTTGTATTTCTTTTCCCTTTATTTAAGGGTGTACTGACAAACTTCAGTGTCTGGTTTATAATGTTCACATTTAACTATTAAATGTAGCTTAAATACAGCATTGTTAATGTTAATCTTTTTAAAATCTTTATTTTCCTTGTTCTTTTTTGCGTTGTTGGCTTTTTGCTGTTGTTGTCTTGTTTAGTTTTGTGGTTGTTGTTTTTTGTTTTTTGGAGACAAGGTTTTGTGCACCTAAGCTGGCCTGAACTCACTATGTAGCCATGGATGACATTAAACATTTAATTCTACTGTCTCTACTTCTTAAGTACTAAAATTACAGAAGTGACTTTAAAAATGTACATTCTGAGCAGGCAAAATGGCTCAAGAATGTAAGTGCATGCCATGCAATTCTGACACAAATTTCCTGCCTGGATCCAATGGTGGACATAAAGAATGAGGTCCTGAATTGTCCCATGACTTCCACCAGCACACCATGACATGCATACACCATTACACACACACACACACACACACACACACACACACACACACACACACACACACACATACATAAACAGACACTCTAAATGCAGATTCTGAACCCAAGTGTAACTTCAGTGTCTCATTAATCATTAGGAGTTTTGAGTGCAGTCAAAAGGACATTAGGAATGAACACAGTAAGACAGCAGCAGCACAGACCATCTGGCTATGACAAGATGACCATGGATCTATGAACGTTAGATCTGACAAGACAGTCCCTACGCACCACTAGTCCACTCACTCCACCTCTTAGCCATCACTTCCTGTCATTTGCAGAATGGGACTGTTATGAGGATACTTCAAGTGGTCCCACAGAGAATCATTATAATAAAATGATGAGCTATAATACGTTCATGAGCTGTCCAAGCTCACTGAAAATGGACTCTTTTATCAAGGAGGCTTCCCTTACCCCAGGCTCTAGCAATGTTTATTCCAAGTGTCCTTCAAAGCCCCCAAGAGACTGATGGGCTCCCTGGTTTGTGACAGGAAGAAAGGAAACAGCAGACAGCTAAGGGTATTAAAAAAATAGTCTAGCCTTAAACATGGCTAGACTATTCCTAAGTGCGTTCCCTCAGCTACTATTTACCACAATATAAAAATTTCTGTGGTAAAGGAAAGCTTGTCCATGGAGAGCATGTACTGGGAAATGGGAAGGCCAGCATGACCTCTCCACAGAGCTCCAGATGTCTGCTGATGTTGTACACATCTGACTTAAAGCTGTGACTTTACTTCTCTCTTGGTCGGGCTCCTCCAGTTTCTGATGGGCCCTGTGAGTACTCCACCAGATAGAATTTTGCTGTATGTGGCTTCTATCTATCTGCTACCTAGTATTTGTTCTTTTACATTTGTTCGATTCACATTTAATAAACTCAATTAAAACTGAAAGTCTAGCTACAATAGATCATTCTCATATAGAGCATGGGTCAAAAGCTAGAAACACCTATCACCACTGGCAAGATCCTATCATCAGGGAAACAGCAGGACACTAAAAAAGGCATTCAAAGGTTAAGTTTCCTTTCCTTAAATCTACTCTCAACAAGAGAGTAACTGTATTACTTTATTATCAATTGACAAGATGCCTATTTGAGATGCCAAGAACCAAAACCAGTGGTAAGTACAGGTGGTTGGAACAGCATAGTCTAATAAGGTCTCTAAAACAGAGAAAGACTCTGCACATAGAGGTCCAAGTAGGAGCAGCAAATATTGGATCATAGATACGCCTGTACCCCTGAACCTCCTGCTCATGCAATCCACTTCTCCAGAGCCACTCATTCCTTCTAAAGACACAAACTCAGTGTCACACTCAGGCTCCAGAGTCTAACAAAAGGGTCCCATGTCCTCAGTGAAGCACAGAGGGCCTCTGCAAACTGATTCCTTCCTCAACAGTCTCAGGCTTTACAACCTTGCACCACAGACAGAGGCCTGCCTAGGGTCCCTCTTCCTCCTGTCCCTTCCACCTGTCTTACTTCTAGCCACATTGACCCACCTTCTACCTGTGCTCTGAGACACAGGCCAAGTGACACCTCTCCTAGACAGCCTCCCTCACCCATTCACACACACACACACACACACACACACACACACACACACACCTCATGCTGGACAGACTATGCACTCTATCTAATTACAAGTCATCTGCCTGGTTTTACAGAGCTCCTCAATTAGTTGGACATAACTAGTGCCCACCAAGGGACCTGGCTCTTCAGGGCTCTATGCTCTTGAATTAATGAACTCACCAGTTTTTCCATTTTCTGTTTCTTCCTACCTGGCCACCAGGGGCAGCAGTGATCCGTACCCTTCCCTTCAGTAGCTGAAAATCTTATGGGGAGTTTGTAACCTATCAATGGAGAGACTCCAGGGCACAAACTAAGCCTTAATTTGATAATAAGCCAGGAACCAGGTAGGGTGGTACAAACATATGATTCCATATCTGGAGGCAAGAGGCAACAGGATCAGAAATTTAATGTCATCCCTGTCTACATAAAGAATTCTAGGCAAGTGTGAGTTACAAAACACTGCTGGACAAACAAAACTGTATCACTATGCCACTAATCCCAGAGGACAGAGGATTTCTGTGAGTTTAAAGCCAGTATGGTCTACATATTTTTTAAATTAATTAAATATTTAAAACTAAAAATACAAATTATAGGTGTTATTACAATAATTTGTTTCCTAGCACTGTGAAAAGACTGAATCTCCTAGATTTTAAAAACATAAAGGTAGGTGTGTTCGTATACACTTGTTGACCTCAGGAAGTAGAGAAAGGAGAATCAGAAGCTCAACCTCAAACGCATATCAAGTTAATTAAGGCCAGCCTGGACTACATGTGACCCTGGTTTAAAAACATATTTCACAAACACATAAGAAAGTAGAGGGGGAAGTTTTGAGAAGAGGGAGAAAATCGGGGGGCGGGGGATGGACCAAAACAGAGTAATGGGGGACCCTGAACACTAGGAAAGTACACAGTATACATATGATAAAGAATGCCATAAAACCCGGGGACTAGGAGGTAGGCAGTCTCCTGGGTAGGCTGGCAGATAGGGAGAGCGGCCTACGTAACAAAGGTGTGGACTTCCAAAGGCCAGCTTCTTCCTCACCATCCTTAATGAGACAAAAGCCTGACATCTTAAAACAAAGGCCTTGTGTGATTTTTCCTGCCAGCAGGCCCCTGCTCAACAAGTTCAAGTCCAAATCAGGGCATGTTACCCAACAGCTGTGGGTCAATCAACCATCTTATCTTTCTTCAAACTGGCCAACTCTTATGTTAGAGAAGGAAAAATTTCAAAGACAAGAAAGAGGGGGGGGGAGAGAAATGTATCTGCTGTGTGAAAGTGTTCCCCTGCTCCCAGCCCTCAATAGATGCTTTTCAATTAATGATTCGGCCTTCTGCTGTTGGAGGTATTGGAGATTTCTCCATTACCACCTGTTGTGTTGGAGATTTTTCCTGCTTTTTAATTCTTTAGCTGGCAGAGATGAACCCAATCAAGACCCCTAACTGTATCAAAACCCATGACTTTGTACATCAAATACGTACTTGTTAAAAATGAGCAGATTCGCCCCAACTATAGAATCAGCTGCAATAGGTTCTCTATAGAAACTCAGTGTATGTATATAAGACACTACCCAGATACTAGGGGTGGAGGATCTGGGTCACCCAGGCCTACACACACGGTGAGACCCTGTAAAGACAGGTGGATCTGTGAAAGTTCGAGGTCAGCCTGGTCTATTTAAGCTAGTTGCAGGCCAGCCAGGTTTCCTGTCTCAGAAAAAAAGGATGGGAGTAGGAGGAAGGAGACCACATACGTAATTCCAACATCAGGCCTAAGCAACTCTTGCCAGAGATACAGTCCAACTAATGCCGGCTCAACGGGAGATCTACAACCCACAAGCCTCTCCACTGAGTGCCTTATGCAAAGCACTGAACTCATTCTTGTGTCAACTCATTTTACTGACGGGAAAACAGACTATCAGTCCTGGCCGTCAGTGGCCCGAGGTCACGATTAGTAATTAGAAAGGCTCTGCTGCAGTTTCCAAATCTTCCCTGGGAAACCACTGTGCGCCATCCAGGACCTCTGTTTAAAAATACAGACTGCTGGGTCTCCAACCCGGGTCCCCTTGGCGGGAACTGGGTATTGAAGTTTGCTCCATTTCCTCCTTAGTAAAGACCCATGAGCCATCAACGCACAGTGCAGTGCCACCTAATGAGCAGCAGGGGGCGTGCTGCAGGGGGCCAGGTGACCTGGTCTTGACCCTGAGCCCATAAGGATGGGGAACCCGGGACAGGTGGCTGGCAATCTGGATGCGCATGCCCACCGGGCTGGACAGCACAGGATCCAGGCCTCCTAGGGCACGGGCCCCCGCGAGCGCCGCTCCAGGCCGCTTACTTGGCGTAGTATACCCAGCCGTCCTTGGTGGTTCTCTCCTCCCAGCCCGGAGGCAGCTCATCCTCACTGTCCGTGTCGTCCAGGCCGGCGTAGCGGAGAGCTGCCATGGTGGAGATACAAGTATTCACCGGGTCACCTCAGCAACTCACTCTACCTTCAACCGCGCCGCGCGCATCAGGGGCCCCCTCCCCCCGACCGCACGCGCCTGCGCACTCCCCCCCCAGCCGATCCGCAGCTGCAATCCAGTTTCCTATTTTCGCGGCGACTGGCGGGAAAAGGGGCGGAGCCTGAGGAGAGAGGTGGTGGAAGCTCAGAAGAGACCAAAGGGCCCTGCGGCTGGAAGGAAAGACAGGAACGGCTCAGAAACTGGAATAAGCTTCTTTACCCTCCTGAAAGGGGCGTGCTCACCCATTCACGTCTCTGGACTCCGCCCGTTGCTGGGCGACCCGAAATCACTTCCTCATTGTTTTACCCAATCTTGAATGAGTCCCAGCCATGGGGTATCTTGGGAAATGTAGTCCAGGCTCAACGGGGCTTTAAAGTACAGCAAAAAAGAAAGGGTTCTGATGAGGTTGTCCTGGGCTCCAGGTTCTTCGCTTGCAGGTGTGTATGCTCAGTCAACATTGAGACTCGATACTGTGACCTTGTCATATACAAAATTTATGCTGGAGAACCGCTCAAATTTTGAAAAGGAAAAAGAAAAATCTCACAATATTTGAAATTTACTATTTTTGTGTTGGGCCGTGTTTAGTATTATCCTGGGCCACATGCTGACATGAACCTCAGGATGGACACACCTGTGAGAGTAAATATCCGACGTAATACTATCAGGGTTTTTCCATTCACAAGTTTCATTGTGCTTGTAAACTCGACATTTTAAAAACTATCTATACTGTACAGAACTTAAAAATACAAGGTCTAGACAGCTGCAGTAGCTCACGCCTATAATCCCAGAATTTGGGAGGCTAAAACAGAAGGATTACACAAGTCTGACACCAGCCTATACTATAAAAGGAGGCAATGTCTCCAAAGATACAAAAAGTACAAATTCTCATTTCTCTAGATTTTCCATTAGAGAGAATGGTCTTCCAAGCATGATGGGCTTCTCTCATTCATAGGCACCACCTAATTACAAACTCACAAAGTAGGCTTTTAAAGAACTTGACAGGAATCCTGTCTATATCCTCAACCCAAATCCTACCCTTCAGCTTGTCCTTGCTGAAGGAAGTTTCCCAAACATGCCCTACTGATAACTTGTTTCCCAAGGCTGTGTGACAGAGAAAACTTCTGGACCAGGACTGAGAGAATACCTGCCTCTATAAAAAGACTGCATATTTTATGGGTGAGTTAGGGATACTGACAGTGTTGCTTTTGTCTTCAAGTCCTAAAAATGATCATTGCTGTGAGATAGCTCCTCCCTCTCCATAGTCTTTAGGGGCAGACACACTTCCCTGAACATAATACAGTGAAAAGCTAACTTACTGAAAACAACATTTAGGGTCTTTTTTTCCCCTCCATATGTGTATGTGTGTGAAGTGTACATGTGTATGTGGACACGCATGTGCACAGGCTTGAGGAGGCCTGACGTTGATAAAAAGATTATCCAATTGCTTATTCATTGAGGCAGGGTCTCTGTTGTCTGCCAGACAACTTGCTCCTGGGATCCCTGTCTCAGCACTGGAATTACAGGAAGGTGCCACACCCACCATAAATTTCTGTGGTTTCTGAAAATCCAACTTGGTCCTCATGCTCTCATGGCAAGGGCTTTAACCACTGAGGCATCTCCTCATTCCAAATCACTTACTTGTAACAGCACTGCTCTCCTATTTGATTCCTATGAGATCCTAAACTTTTTCAAATGTCTGTGATTTTGAACCTGCTATTGCTAATCTACTGCACCTCTGGTTACCCATTCATCTCTCACCTTAGCCTACTGACTCCTCTGATGTGAATAGGAAGTGAGATCACAAAGTCCCCTAATTGTGAAGAGAAGATGAATAGGGTTCTAATGAAAAGTCTTGGTTTCTCTGGTGACCTCTGGCCTCTACTCAAGTAATGAGGGCTTATGTTGACCTTGGATTTCTCAAACCAAAGCCTCTTCTACAACCCACTTTTGGTGCCATGTATAGTGTCCTTCTGTTGTAATTTGATCCTGAAACAGTCCCTACAGGCTCATGATTTGAGTGCTTGGTTCCCAGTTGGTGGTACCATTTTGGAAGTTTCTGAAAACTTTGGGAGGTGGTAAATTGTTGGAGGAGATGGGTTACTTGTCAGGGAATATCTATTCCAAGTATTATCCTGGAGTTGGCTGGATCTACTGTCCCATCACCCTGCCATAAATCCTGCTTCCTAACTTGCTCTTCCAGTTAGTTGTTATTAACAACTTTACACAACCAAAAGTCACCAGGGAAGAAGGAGGAGCCCAGATTTGATGAGCAATGGCTATATCTGTAGGGAATTGTCCTGATTATTTATTGATTGGTGAGGGTCCAGCTCAATGCAAGGGCAACTATCCCTTGGTCAGGTGGTCCTGGACTATATATAAAAGAGCTACAAGTGATACAGTAAGCAGTGTTCTTCCAAGGCTTCTACTTCAATTCCTGTTCAGCACTTGCCCCAACTATTTTCAATGATTGACTGTGACCTGGAAGTATCAGACAAATAAACCTGTCCTCCCAACATTGCTTTTGTTCCGAGGGCTTGTTACAGCAACAGAAAGCAAACTAGAATGTCCACTTTGATGAAAAGTGATGTGATCTGCCCCATCATTCCTTCCCAACCTTTATCTGCTAAGTCCTCTGAAACTATAAGCAAATTTTACCCACTAAGTTGTTTCTTTCGGGTATTTTCTTGAAACTGGTGTGAAGTAGCTAATACACAGTATACCTCCAAGCTTCAAACTAGTGTGAAGTAGCTAATAATATAATACACTTCTAAGTGTGGGTGTTTGACTGTAACTGGCCCCCACTATCTCATAGAATGCAGAAGAAATGTTTTATATAGGAAAAGGGGGATCCAAAGATAGCAGGACGACTGTGCATGCATATTTAATTGGGGGTTTCTAGGCAGAGGAGTAAAATATGCCGGCATCAGCTGGGACTGTAGTTCAGAAGTAGAGTGTTTAACTCCTGGCAATGACAAAATAAAAATATAACCCCATTGTATAGAGGGAAGTTTCCTGTGTCCCAGCGATTGCTCCCAAATATCCACAAGAGAACTATTATTAATAATAAATACTCAGCTGATACTTACTCAGCTTGTTACTTACTAGCTCTTACAACTTAATTGATTCATTTCTATTAATCTATCTGCTGCCACATGGCTTTACATGTCTGTCTTCCAGCATATCTTGCTCCTTCTGCATCTGACTCCAGCTTTCTTCTTCTCAGCCTCCTCTGTGTTTGGCAGCCCTGCCTATAGTTCCTGTCTGATTACGGGGTAGTCAGCTTTTTAATTAAACCAATCTGAGTGACAAATTTTCACAGTGTACAAAAGAAATATTTCACAGGACCATCAAGATATATCTGTGGGTAAAGGTAAAGGGAATGTTTAATATTTAGTATATTGGTTATTTTCCTGTTGTTGCGGTAACAATACCGTGACCAAGGCAACTTATAAAAGAAGGAGTTTAATTGGGTTTAGGTTTCAGATATTTAAGAGTCTGTGATTGTGGAGCAAAGTCAGGGTGGCAGGCAGTTGGAGAAGCAGCAGCAGCAGAGAGCTTACATCTTGATCCACAAGTAGTGGACAGAGAGCCTCTAGGGACAGTAGGAACTTTGGGAGCCTAAAAGCCAGCTCTGTGACACACCTCCTCCAACAAGCCACACCAACTAATTCTTCTTAAATAGTTACACCAACTAGAGACCAAGCATTCTAACATATGAATCTAGCGGAGGACATTCTCACTCAAATCACGATAGTTTGATAGTTTAAAAATGCCACATTTGTCACTTACAATTTTAGCTTCACAATGCACTTATTATTTATTCTTTCTTTTTTATTATTTATTTAATTTTTTATTCCTTCCTCTATTTCTTTATCATGTCTGGCTCCTGGACTTCCTTTTAGTTTTGTCTCTGTCAGGAGGTGTCAGGAGGATCTGTCAGGAGGTGAGTAAGATGATAATGAACTTGTATGCTTTCAAGAGAAAGCCAGCATCCTCAAAATGTAACCTTAAGAAGAGCATAACACTGGCTTGTTTCTGTAAAAACATCTGTATCACAGTGGTTATTAAATATGGATATTTTAAACCTCCAAGCATGTGGTTACCAAGCTGCAAGCCAGATGGCTCCATCTGCCCATGTTTTAAAGCCTACTTCCCAGCAGCAATGTCTGCCTTTGAATTTTTTTTTTTTGAGTGATACTTCTTCACTGTCTAGGAATTTGTGATAAGATGGACTCACTAGAGCTGAATAAGTTTGACACCACGCCAAAACAAAAAAGAAAAACAAAACAAAACACAAAAAAAACAGAGGTATTGAAAGACCCCCCAGACCCCTAAGGGTCTCAGGATCCCAAGGAGCCCCCGAGACGCAGAAACCAGACCAAGAGCTGCAAAAGCAAGAGGGTTTATTGAACGAATGTGCATTCGTGTATCAGCAATATCGGGAAAGCTGCACACCCCAGCAAGGGTTACAGGCTCCTTATACAGGAAAAAAATGCAGATCAGCACACAGGCAAGGGGCACAAAGTGATTGATTACAAAGTATGATCTCATGTTAGAGACCTGCTTTTTTATAAAGAAAAACCATAGAACGTACCCTGAAAAGTCCTTGATTGTCTGTTGGCCAGCCAGGTGTGACCCAAAAAGGATTGTTTGTTTGCCCTCGGGTTGGGGCCAACTTTCTTGTCCTGGGCCAAGGCCTGTGGGAAACTTTTTCTCTCTGTGAACTAAAATCTTTCAAAACTTTTTCTCTCAGCAAACTAAAATCTTCCAGTATATAAGAGGCACAACTTTTACTAGGGTATCACTGGTGCCAGAGGTCTCTAATTCATCAACACCAGTAAGTTGATAATGTTGACACGCCCTGCCCAAACACACTGCAGACCTGATTTAAATTAAATCATGAGTCTTTATAAAGTCAAGCTTGGTTTTCTGGTGAAAATGAGGTCTGGGAAACTTCCTGGCATTTCTGGCTAGTGAAAAGATATGTTGAAACTTAGAGTGGTGGCTTTCGCCTGTAATCTCAGTACATGGGAAACTAAAGCAGAAAGATTGCAGCAAGTTTCAGGCTAGACCGGGCTTCACAAAGAGTTCCAGGTCAACCTGGGCTACAGAGTCCCCACCTCAATAATAATAATAATAATAATAATAATAATAATAATAATAATAAGCAAGATTTTTAGGGAAAATTCCTAGTCATTGTGACCTTAGGAATGTCACAGGTGCAAATTTGAGTCTGGAGTTTCCAGGTCCCTGTACCTCTTTATATTAAATTTTACAGAGACACACATTTATTACAGGAAAAGGGGTCATTTATTAGGAGCGTGATTCAGAGCAGCTTGGAGTTGTACCAGGCCCCAACCTATGGTCTTCCTCCAAAAGAGCAATAAAGGGAAAAGGGCTAAAACAAAATCTGCAGTAAACTTTCATGGACCATTAACATAGTACCCACTTCTCCCATGTTCTCAGGGCTTTTCTGAGCATGCTCTTTTGGTTGATTGAAGCTCAGGTAATTTAAGGGCTCCCAGTCTTTCCTTCTCTGCTGTCTTTTATATGTTGATCTCTGGATCCTCCTCCATAATTTCGTATTTTCCTGCCTCAGAAATAGGCATTTGTGTACATGAATTGAAACACCCAATGTGAGTGTGGGAGGATTATCTAAGACCAAAGCCAATAATAAAACAAACAAAAAAGGATAGTGGCAAGGCACAGTGGCTACACTTTTAATCCCAGCATTCTAAAGGTAGACACAAACTGATCTCTATAAATTTGAAGATAGCCTGGCCTACATAGTGAGTACCAAGTTAGCTAGGGGCTATGTAGTGAGGTCCTGTGTAGTGATATTTTGTTTGTAATCTAACAAATAACACTTTCCTGAAGACCAGAGAAACAAAGCAGCCAGCCACTAGAGAGTCTCATCTCTACCAATGCTCAGAACAAAGGGACGATCCTGTCCTTTGATTGAATCTCCAAACCGCTCTACTACTCACACTGCCTAGACTGCACTGAGAGATGTAAAGAGGTCCAAAGATAGTTTTGGATGGTAATGCAAGTTAAGATTGCAAGTAAATTAGGTACATGACTTTGAACTTACCAAGATAGAATAAATAAGGGAGTATTTTTTCTGAATTTGTCCAATGCAAATGGATTAGACAATGTTGATGTAATTATTGCCTTATATATCAGATATGGTTAGTTATGGCACTCATTGTAGATAGTTTTTCTTATATTAGTTATAGCCTTCTTTTTTATATTAGGCACAAAGGGGAAATGTAGTGATATTGTGCTTGTAACCTAACAAATAAGGCTTGCCTAAAGATCAGAATGCTTAGTTAAGCTACTGGTTAGTCACACACCTAAGACACTAATTAACCATTGAATACAGGCTGTGGTGGCCACACCTTTAATCCCAGCACTCAGGAGACAGATGCAGATAGATCTCTGTGAGTTCAAGGCCACCCTGAGATACATGAGTTAATTAGGTGGGTTTTTTTTTTTTTTTTTTTTTTTGGAGAGGGGTTTTTTTTTTTTTTTTTTTTTTTGGTTTTTCGAGACAGGGTTTCTCTGTGTAGCTTTGGAACCTATTCTGGCACTTGCTCTGGAGACCAGGCTGGCCTCAAACTCACAGAGATCTGCCTGCCTCTGCCTCCAGAGTGCTGGGATTAAAAGCGTGTGCCACCAACACCCGGCTTGAGTTAATTAGTTTAAAAGAGAAAGAGAGCTCACACCTTTAATCCCAGCACTAAAGAGGAATATAAGGCAGGATCTCAGTGCAGCCTTGGCAGTCTGAGGAGCAGTGCAGTTTGGAGATGCACAGGACAAGATCACCCCTCCACTCTGAGCATTGGTGGTGAGAATTCTCTAGTGGCTGGATGCTTTGTTTCCCTGTGGTTCAGGTAAGTTTTATTTGTTAGATTACAAACAAAAGGTCACTACAATCCTGTCTCAGTTAGAAAAGAAAATCCAATGTTTTACTTTTCCTGTGTTCCAAAAGAAATTAGGAAACAGAAATACATAATTGAAAATGTATTTGTTTACAGCTATGCAAACTAGGAAGAGAAAGGACCTAATTTCTCTCCCTGCCACCTGTGGCAGTCTTATTTAGGGAAAACCATGACACAAAAGCTGAAGCCCTGTGGATTTTGCTGTGAGACAGTTTCAACAGTCCGCTGTGAGGGGGTTGATTTAATTCCGTGTAGTCCTCATTCTCAGAAAGGGAGGGTGTCATAGTTTAGCAGTTAACTCTGTTGCAAGGTGTGGTGGCAGATGCCTGTAGTACCAGCACTCTGGAGGGAGGCAGGGGCAGAAGGATCAGAAGAAAAAGGCTAGTCGTCACTAAGTAACAAGTACAAATACAGCCTGGGCTACCTGAGACCATTTCAATCAGCCCACAATCAAAAATAGTCACTATGGTTGCAGCATGAGAATTCCAAGACATTGGAGAGTTTCTGTATTAGGGTTTCCAGTTATTTGTCACCAGATTCTAATCAATGACACATATAAGGGTATAAGGTAAACGACCCTGGCCAAGCCTCAAACTTCTCTGTTTGTCTGAAAGCTAAAAGCAATGTATTTGGAGCTGGAAAAATGGCTTAGTAGACAAGAGCACTTACCAGAGCAACCCACAACCACTGGAACTCCAGTCCCAGGGCTTCTGATATCCTCTTCTGGCCTCCACAGGCACTTGCCCTCATGTATACACACATAAACAGGCACACATAATAGAAATATATCTTTAAAGTAACTATAATAAATTTCTGCCTTCTTTGAGCAATGCTGTATCTGTCAGAGTTGAATCAAGAAAATAAATAGAAATAGTGTCTCAATAGAAATTTGTATTTTAAAGAAGAGGTTTGTTATATAGGGAATTTAAAGAGGAAATATACTATAAAAAGAAACCACTGCTTTGGTTCACATGTATAATTACGTGAGCGTCATTTTCTTTATTTTATTTTACTTGTTAGACTTTCTTATTTTATTTTATGCAAATGAGTGTTTTTCCTGCATATGTATGTATGCATTTATGTAGGTATGTATGTTTGTATGTATGTACATACCATGTGCATGCCTGATGCCCAAGGAGGTGAGAAGACGGAACCAGAGTCCCTGGAATTGGAGTTACAGATAGTTATGAGCCACCATGTGATTGCTGCAATCCAAAGCAGGGTCCTCTGCAAGAGCAGCAATTGTTCTTAACCTCTGAGCCACCTCTCTAGCCCCTTTATATTATTTCTTAAATTGTCTTGAGCCGACAGCTTTTTTTGTTTGTTTGTTTGTTTGTAGGCAGGGTTTCTCTGTGGCTTTAGAGGCTGTGCAGGAACTAGCTCTTGTTGACCAGGCTGGTCTCAAACTCACAGAGATCTGCCTGCCTCTGCCTCCCAAGTACGGGTATTAAAGGTGTGTGCCACCACCACCCGGCCTTGGGTTTTGTTTTTAAGGCAGGATATTACTATATAGCCCCAGTTGGTCAGCAGCTCTCTATGTAGATCAGGCTGATCCTGAACTCAGAATGATCCCCCCTCATTGCCCCCTAATTACTGGGATTAAAGGCGTGCACCACCACCACCAAGCCAGAGCAGACAACTTTCTTGAAGCCCTTTTTGGTTTTGGTTTTGCTGTTCAAATGATTGACAGGCCCATTTGTATCAACTTCTAAGGGGCAAAGCAGCATAATTTCTTTGTTCTTTATCAGAAAACCTCAAGCTAGATAGTAATTTTAGGATCTTTTTTACAGTTTAAAACAAGAACGACAAGCAAGCCTCAGCCCAGGACCAGAGATGTCATCGATTTGGGAAGCCAATTGGGAGTTCCAGCAGTGTGAAAGACCCTGGGGAGCTGAATATGATGTAATGTATTTTCCTGCTAGGCAGACAACAAGGAATTCTTCAGACTTGGAAGAGTCAGCTGATGGAATGATTTTAGCACCTGAAGATCTGAGTTACCAAATATACGATGTTTCAGGAGAAAGCAGCTCAACAATTTCTACAGAAGATTTAAAAGATTGTCTGAAAAAACAATTAGAGTTCTGTTTCTCCCGAGAAAATTTATCAAAGGATCTTTACTTGACATCTCAAATGGATGGTAATCAGTTCATTCCAATATCGACAGTTGCCAACCTGGAGGAAATAAAAAAACTGACCACAGATCAAGATTTAATTCTTGAAGTGCTGAGATCTTCTCCTCTAGTACAAGTTGATGAAAAGGGAGAGAAGGTGAGACCAAGTCATAAGCGTTGTATTGTAATTCTCAGAGAAATTCCTGAAACAACACCAGTAGAGGAAGTTAAAGCTTTGTTTAAAAATGGAAAATGCCCCAAAGTGATAAGCTGTGAATTCGCACAAAACAGCACCTGGTATATCACGTTCCAGTCAGACACAGATGCACAACAGGCTTTTCAATATTTAAGGGAAGAAGTTAAAACGTTTCAGGGCAAGCCAATCATGGCAAGGATAAAAGCCACTGCTATATTTTTGGCTAAGAATGATTATCCATTAATGGATTCTAGTATGTATACTCAACCCATTCAGATGCCAACTCAATATCCCTCACCAGTCTTTATGCAGCCAG